TCCTGGCTACCAAGGAGCTTTCTAGCTGTATGTCTTCCAACACAGATTTCTTTGTTCTTTTGACAGTCCCTGGTACTTTCATTATTAGAGGTCTCAAAATGTCAGATTGATGTAAATATACTAATTCAAGAATGGGAAAATAATAGTGTGTAGTTTCATATAATTAAAACGAGCTTGTCAAATAATAATAAACCAAGATCCATAGAGCTTAGCAAACTTTTTTTTTTTTTTTAAGTTTTCCTAAAACTTATTTCAGGCAGTATCTATTACCTCCACCTACTTTCCAAATTAAAGCAGTGAACAAAATGAGAGAAACCACACACTAAATCAGATTTTCAACCTCAGCAATACTGACATTTGGAGCCAGATACTGATTGCTGTCCTGTAAGCTGTAGGACATTTAGGAGCATCAAACACACCTCCAGACAAATGTGCATTGGCAGGCAAAGTCACTCACAGATAGGATATCTCCAGTAAGTAGCTTCCACATTTTTCTTGATGTTCCATTTTCTTTCTGATTATGTGACATCTAATTAGAATACAGTTTCCGCTCTGAGAACAAAACAGCTGATTACTATTACCTTATGTTGTTGTTAAGTGTTGAAAAGTCACTTCTGCCTCAATGACCCTGTATAGGGTTTATGAGAAACAGCTGGTGGATCTGAACCACTGGCTTGTGACCCAGTGCTTATCTTAGAGCATCACAGCATTAAATGTAAAAATGGGAAATATAGTGCAGTTATTAAGCACAGCTGTTACTAACAGTGTACCTTTTAATAAGCAAAGGTTCACAGAACAAAATACATACAAAAATTCAGCAGAAATCCATCTCCATCACACTGGAACTATTAAATACTCTACACAAATACACAACTATCCTGTTAGCACTTGCCCATACTGTGAGTTTTCTGTTATGCTCAAGCCTTCCTTCTCCGAGTTAAGTAATGGATTTTTCATGTTTTCATTGCAGCATTTAAAATTACCCACACAACGGAGGTATCAGGGTCAACAGCAGATAATCAGAATGGTTTGGACTGGGATAACATCTAATTTTTAGTTTTTTGTCATCATCTGGAGATGAGTCATGCTAAAAGTATAGCCCCTGAATCTCTCTACAAATAAATGGAGGAGCATCACATTACCTAAAGAACTTGAACTAAGGTTAAGCATTAAGGATAACTAAATATAGATTTTAATTTTTATCCATTTTAATTTCATGTGTTCTATTTCTAACTAGACACAAGAACGAAACACAAAACAGAATGCAAGAATCTTCATTCTAGTCTGTAATTTAAAAAAAAACAACAAAAAAAACTTCTTTATTAAACCTTTTACAATAGAATCCATTTTTAAATTAAGTACAAAAAAATTCTGAAAAGATACTGAAATGTCATCAATAGGTAATGATATTAAAGTGATTTTTTTTACTTCTTTTTAAACAATGAATTGTATTTTTTAAACCTCAAATAAATTACAATTTTCCACCAATATTACCAGTTTACATACTATCAGCCAAGATCTTGGGACAGTTGTGGACACTAATCTTGTTTCTTGGGTTGTATTTCAAATCACCCCAATGTAAACTTTATCTCCAGTAATTTTTAATAAGGATATTTTCTACACCCCCAAACCCTGCCAATTCATTGATTCCTGACTCATAGCAACGTTATAGGGCAGCTAGAAGGGCTCCATAGGGCTTTATGGGCGCAGGCAGCCTCCCATGGAGCGCCTGATGGGTTTGAACTGCCAACCTGGTTAGCAGTCCAACTTTCAATCCATTGCATCACCAGAGCACCTTTCTTATTAACCAGAAAGTGTGACCTTTGATAAATTTTAAAGAAAAAATATGTACAAGTAAATTTTCTTACTAAATGAATACTCAATATAGCCTAAAATAATTTCCGGGTTTGACAAAAACTTGTCAAATTCCTTTTTAAGAGGGTACACATAACATATTTTTAATTTGGCAATTCAGATCCCAATTAAGAATTTTGATACTTCTAAAAATGTCAAGGCTGAATTTTCTCTCATCATTATCTAGCAAAAACGCAAATAGCAAAACTTCAAATATGTACATATTTAAGCTGGTATATGAGAGTATTCTTTAATCGGCGACATGCCGTTTTAAAAGTTGTACTGCTAAGTTACATTGTTTCAGCCTCTAAATGTTCATAATAAGTGCATTCATGTACTATGGTTCATGAAAATATTATATTCTTTTATTGTTTGTTCATACATGTTTTTCAACTTTCAATAATAAAAGTCAATAATTTTTATTCCTTAATCATAAAAAGTTGCTTTACACATTATTTACATGTTGCAGAAGTCTACAGTCATACAAAATATCACAAGGATTTCACTGATTCTACGTATGTTTCCAATCATACACAAGAGAGTTAATCAAGTAACACACATTCAAAGATTCGCCCATTGGCATGCACAGTGTATTTGGCACTGTTCATTGATACTTTAACACCTTCCCTTCAGAAAAACATTCCTAATAAGCCTTAGTTCCAATATATTGGAATTTGTTATTCACATCAAAAACCAGCTTTCAAACTATGAAACAGTAATTAGTTTTAAGAAACATAAAACACAATCAGATTTGGGAATGGAATTCAAACCCTCAAACTCTTGCTATGCTTTCCAAATAGCTGCCTTCTATTAAAATAGATTTACAGGAAGTTCCTGGATTATGAATAAGGTCTATTCCTAAATCTGTCTTTAAAGTGAATTTTCACATAAATTGGAATAGTTAGGTATGGTTCGGATCTAAATGTTTATCTGAGAGTGTACCTTTCCAAGCATATAAAACATTTAAGGAACACTTGCAGATACACTGAAAGTTTGAATGTAACAATAATGTTTTGATGTTGTGAAAACACTGAACTTTTAATGGCTTCATGGGGTTGGCTCACATTAAAGCTTAACATGTCAGAATTCATAACCCAGTGACTGCCTGTATTTAAGAATGTTCTCATTGTGGGGAATGTCAGAAAGTATTTAAAGATATTATCTTTCAACATACATGAATACTAACAACACCTTTCTTTAAAATGATCCATTTCTCCTGAGAGTACAAGAAACCCGAATGGTGCATTAGCTGGGGATGAATTCTGGTGAGGATTATAGGTAGGCAGTCATTAACGATCAATGCTAGTAAGGGTGGGAAGATTGTACTAGAAGTTACAAAAGACATTTGGAATGCCTGTATCTCAATTCAAACTTCTTAAGTCACTTGTTTTAGGGTCTCTTCCTAGGAATATAACATGCTCGGGCCAGAGCTTACAGACTTATTTTGATATATATACACATAGAAGAAAATTAAAGTACCAAGACTCAACTATTCAACTTTTAGCAACTTGGGTTACATCCTTGTTGTTGTTATATGTGCCATGGAGTTGGTTCCGACTCATAGCAACCCTGTACAGGGTTTTCAAAGTTATAAATCTTTACGGGAGCACAACGCCTCATCTTTCTCCCATGGAACAGGTGGTAGTTTCAAACTGCTGACCTTAAGGTTTGCAGCCCAATTCGTAACCACTATGCTACCAGGTTATATCCTAGTGTCATTTATTTCATTAATTTTAACAAATATGAAATCCCTTCATCTCAACCATCAAGTTGGTTCTGACTCACAGCAACCCTGCACAGGGTTTCCCAGGGGCGGCTGATGAGTTTCAACAGCTGAACTTGTGGTTCAAACCAACATAATGATCAAGTGCTTATCCTACCACACCACACTAGGTCTCCTTTCTCATTTCACATCACTTCAATATGGCCTGCTAAATTTAATTCACTAATGTCATACATTAAGTGCTATGGGGTCTATTCTAATTCATACTGACCCCATATAGGGTTTTGGAAGCTTTTAAAAATTTTTGTGGGAGCAGAAAGCCTCATTTTTCTCCCACGGAGCAGCGGTGGGCTCAAACGGTCGACTTTGTGGTTCACAGTCCAGTGCTTATCCTACAGTGCCACCTCCAAAATTAGAACATGGATCGCCGTACAAGAAATAAACTGAAAATATACTGGTAAAGTTTAAAGATGCGTGGTAGCTTTATAAAAAACTATTCATTCAACAGTAACTCTGACTTTAAAATAAAAGTCTTACAATGTATAAAGGATTATGGAAGGACTGAGTGCAAAGTAATGTCACTGGACCAATATTGAGTTTAATCGATTTTATTTCAAATGTATTTTGAAAATCATAAATAGAGTTTTATAATTCAAAGTCAAAACACATTTATTCCTCTTAGTTTCACAATGTGAAAATATTCCAGATCATGCTTCTAATTCCAGTTTTCTTTGCTATTGTGCAGACTTTTGAAACCTAGAATTTAAACTATTCCATTTTAACTGTACAAGTTTACAATGACCAGCACCTCCATATTGACAGGAGGATTTTCTTAAAATAGTTCATCAAAAATAAAGAATGGTTTCTGTGCAAGGAACAACAGTGAGGGAAGAAACACTAAATACCTTTCAAAAATCATTTATTTGTTTTACAAGTAACAGAAACAGTGTTGTTCTCTATCATAAAAGAGAACTTAAAATTAACTTATTTTTGTAGGCTTTGGTAATATTTTACTCCTTACACAAACCTACATCCTATTTAAATAACTTTTATGCAAAGTCACTATCAGGATTCACTGAATAAAAACCCCGGGTATTAACATGGCCCTAAATGTGCTATTCCAAAGAGGAAGAGGTGATTTTTGAGGAAAAGCGTTGCCTTGGCAACTAACATCAAATGCTGGTTTTAAATTAAAATAGTTATTGAAAACATTTTAAAAATCTGACTACTACCAAGCACATTGTCCACCAACAAAACAGAAAATCAACCCTTTTGTTCTTATTGTTAACAAACTTCCTACCTTTACTTTTTAAATTACAATTGTTCAACCATTTTTTACTGCCAAATTCAGTATTTCAATTTTTTGAAATTATGCACTTCAGTGTAATAAGACATCTCTTTAAATTTACAACCCAGAACAGACACCAGAGCCATACTCTCAAGTCACATTGTTTGACCACAATGAAGTAAGAAATGAAAATGGACGGATATTTGAAGACAGGTAATTCCCTCTGCTCTAAAAAGCTTGCAAGTTTTAACATGCGAGCAATACAGAACTCCATTCTTTTGGAGATTCCTCATATGCTTCCAATCAACAAAGTCAATATATTATTCTTAAAAAGTAAAGTTTGGTCACTAGGAAATATTGAACAAAAATTACTCCTCTCCCCACAAAATAACAATCAAACAGAACTAAGGATCCCTTCCTCTCCCCACAAAAACAGGGAAGTAGTTGGGACTGAAGCCTTCAATTTGCAATTTCAAATGTTCAACATTCCTGCTATTTGTCCAAAGTTGCAGTTCTGTGTACTTCCTTCTTCAATACTTCCCTTGGGTACACATTTACTTTCATACACACATGCCTGTGTATGCATGTGCACACACACACACTCACCCACTCATTCTCAAGTAAGACACTTTTTTGTGTTTGTTGATAAATTATAAGGATTGTGGATTGGGTGTGGACAGGGTTTCGTAGGTGCTTTGTAAACATCAGAGTCATTTGGGTCCTTTTCTCCAAAAGCCTGAAATCAAATTACACAACCAGGAATGACTACTTTCCCAGACGCTGTTCACAGGCTGCGTACTGACGAAGAGCAGAGAAAAAGTCCTCATAACTGATGTTTAGGTAGGAAGGCAAAGAGCTGAAAAGAAGCACAGGAGGAGAAAAAGGAATTAGGTAATATATTGTCATTTGGTGGGGATAAACAGAAAGACTTTTTTTGTTGTTTATTAGTTAAGTGCCATCGAGTCGTTTCTGGCTCATAGCAAGACCCTGTAAAGGATTTCCAAGGAGCTGGTGAGTTTGAACTTTAACTTCTGACCTTTTGGTTCAAGTTCTTGTCCTACAGCGCCACCCGAGGACTCCAAAAGGATAATAACCAAAAAGAGGTTAAGGACAGAAGACATTACAAGCACTATTGCTGCTGTTGTTGTATGCCTTCAACTTGATTCCAACTCATACCAAAACACTTTTACTAAAAGATTATGTGAAATGGTTCAAGAAAAAGTCATCTGCCATTTCATCCAAAAGAGAAAGCAACTTCTAATCAGCTAAGAGATTTAGAACCTGTCAAAGCAGTTACCAATTGCCACTGAGCTTATTCTGACCCCACGTGTTTCAGAGGAGAATTGAGCTCCATAGAGTTTTCATGGCTGTGACCTTTTTGAAGCTAGACTCCCAGGCCTTTCTTCCAAGGTGTTTCTGGGGTAGGTCGAAACAGCCAATCTTTCAGTTAATAGCCAAGCATTTCACTGTTTGCACCACCCAGGGCTTTGCCTACATTAATGCAAAGCTAGAGATCTATTTACAAAGATTTTGCTCAAATCCACTTTACTCACTTTACTCAGAGAGTAAAGCCAGTACTGCTTGAGCTGTTCACGAAAGCCAGACTTAAAACAGAGCACAGATGCACAGTATATGGAGCAATGTTGTGTGCCATCAGTAAATCACCAACACAAGGGGGCTTCAAAAAGTTTGTGGAAACATATAATGGAATATATAGTTATGTAAATTAAAGATAATGGAATTTTCCCACAAACTTTCTGAAGTCCCCTCATATTTCCAATTGATCAGGGAAGCAATTAAAATGAAAGCTTCAAAAAGTTAGTGAAAAAATTCCATTATCTTTAATTTCCATAACTTTTTGAAGCCTGCTTGTAGTGAGAAGCTAGCACATTAAAGTCAGAGTGAACATACCTCCAGATGGTTCCTATCTATTATTTAAAATAATGAAATAATTGTCAAAAATTAACATGAAATAAAGTAACTTATACAGCTTTATAATGAGGCTTTGGAAAAACTGTCAGCAGCAAATACATGGACAAAGTACAAAAATTAACATGAAATAAAGTAACTTATACAGCTTTATAATAAGGCTTTGGAAAAACTGTCAGCAGCAAATACATGGACAAAGTACAAGAATCACATTCAAGTTCAATAGTCATGCGCACCAAAAGAAAGAAATGAACTACCATGAAACATCTCCAGCCTGACCTTGCAGTTCTAAGTATGTTCCTCTCTTTATCTTTCCTTTGACTGCCAAGAATTCTGAAACATGTCACCTATGCTTTCCATTTCCTTATCATTTCCTCATAATCCATACTGTCAACCTTCTGCCTTATTCACTCTGCTGAAATGATTTCCTCAAGGGACACATTAGGTAAAACTATGCTAAAGCTTCCTCAAACGACCTCCCAAACTATCTACTTTCCAAAGCTCTTCTCATTCTGCCCCATCACCTATCACTCCTCAAGAATCACTTAGTGCCACAACCCAGGAGTGCCTCAGAAGCTGTCTGGTTGTTTGGTTGCTTCTGTCTGACCTGTCAGGGTCCAGCCTCCTTCTACTTCTTCTCTACAGCATGAAAGAAGACATACTTCCTGCCATCACAGTGCTTACAGTCAAATGGGAGAAGGGGGGAGGAAGGACAAATACAGAGCAAATCTCCATATAAAATGTATGTATGTATACACACACAGTTTCCACAGGGTCAGCCTGTTTTATGTTAGACATCTGAGGTCCATCTTAAGATGTAAATCCTCAATCCATATTCAAATGTCCATCGTACAAACAGAGATGTTTTAAGTAACTTTCCAATATCGAGCTACATAGCACATTCGAATGTGCGCTATGTGTTCTGAAACACATACTTTTCCTTCAAACACACTGCTGTCCTTTGTAATAATGTTTCACTGAACAGCCACAGCTACTGCTGATATATCATGCATGCTGAATAGCTACACTAGCAGAACTGCGTACTTGCAAGAGAGGAATACATGCAAGAGACAATGTGGCCCAAAATTCTAAAATATTGACTTTCTGGCCCTTTATGGAAAAAGTTTGACAAACCCTATTCTAAATAATCAGTTACATTCTCACTATGGTAATCCTTATCATGTCTTCTCTTAAATTGCCGTTACAGCCTTTTCAACTGTCTTCTGATATCAACCTTTCCCAAATCCATTCCACTTAGTGCACAGCTGACAAAGCAATCTTCCCAAACCAGTAAGTATTCTGACATTATCCACAGGCTCAGTGGTTTGGCTCGCCAAGCAAGCGAACACATTCCTTATGCTGACATGCAAAGTGTTCCAAAAGTTCAACACCTAAAAACTATCTCATTTCACCTCATCCAACTACTCAATACGAACTCTCCCACTCTTACATGGCCAGTTCAGTGACTATTTCTTTCTTTCTTTTTTGAAGTTTTTATTGTGAATTGAGTGATAGTTTTCACATGGGAGAACATTGGTTTGACACCATCGTTTCATTGCAATGATTACAATTCCCTCTGTGCATCGTCATTCAACAGTTATTTGCTTCTGTTCCCTGTTTGTTTGGCTTGGGGTTTTTTTGGGGGGGTGGGGGGATACACAAAAACACTCAGGAATATATAATAATTTAAACAATCAAAGGGCATGTTCTGCAAACCTGCCTCCTGGCAGCCAGCACTAAGTCTTTCTCTTTCCCTAAGTCGGTGACTATTTCTTTAAGATACCATGTTTATTTTTCCTGCCCCATCCAGCTTTCCCATCCATCTCCTGTACCTCCCTTCTTCTCTGATTTCACACAGATAAAATCCAGACCTCTACAAAATCAACAATTGTGGCCAATAGTGATGTCTCTTACGTCAGATCTCCTATGGTTACTGGTGTCAATTCCAAACATTTGCACAACCATATACTCTGGTGTCTCAATCATTTACATATATCTTTATTTTACCACTGGTACTGTAAAAGACATAGGAAAAGGATTCTTTATCACAATTCTTTGGGACTCCTGGTGTGGCACTGTAGGATAAAATGCAGGACCCTGAGGTCGGTTTGAATTACAAGGTCAGCAGTTCAAACTCACCAGTTGCTCTTCAGAAACCCTATACAGGGTAGCTAGTTGTGAGTTGGAACCGACTTGATGGCACTTAACAACCATACCTAGAATACTGATGGGCTCAATGAACATACTAAATTAGCTCCAAATTAATACATTTTCAGTTACTTACATAATCTCAGTCAATCTGATATGCCAAGGAAGAAAACCTAATGTGCTGTCCACAGGACCAAACTTCAATACTAAATCAGGATCTGGGAATCCATTTGAACCTTGGGAATAAAGAAACATAGATGGATTTAATATGCTTACTTAATCTAAACAAAGGCAAAATCTGTTATCCAAATTGGCTTCTTAGGCTTTGAGTATCCATTTTTCTAAAAAGCTGTTTGTCTGTTTGCATACCGCTCTGACCCCAATCCATAGCATATAGGCTAGTAATGTTTCCAAAGGTGGAATTGTTTTCCAAACGTTCAATTAACTGGACTGATTACCTGCTAAATAGGGGCATCTGCCCTAAGTCCTGTGGGTACCTCCTACATCTTATATATTTTCAAGCGTCAACTCATGTGTTTTCTTCACATATTGGGAAGGATACTGCTCTAAGGATCTAACTGTTTATTCCGGCTAAAGTGAAATAATTTCAAAAGTGAAACTGAATTTTAAAAGTATTTCATCTCCTTCTCTCCCCCATGCCCTTTATTCTTATATTTACCAAGCCAGGAAGGCCCATATACAAATATATAAACAAAATAAATGTTTTTGGTGTTCTCCAGAGCCCAAGGCCCCTCAAGGAGGAAAAGGAGACTGAACACCTGTCTCAACAAGCACATATCAATTTTTTGTTTCACAGATTATATTCCACATGAGACTTGGCTTGGGAAAAAGGAATGAGGACATTTCACATGCTTACACGTAAAGTTTGGAAAAGCACTGGTACAATAAAAAAGATACTATAATTTGAGACACCCAGATTCTGTTTCTAACAGCCCTCTGTTCTGCCTGTACCTTGCTTGTCATACCACTTCTGCAGGCTTAGTTGTTCAGCAAGAAAACTGGGGACCCTTCAACAGGACTAGCAAAGAATTATTTCCACAACAAAGTTCCTTAATAGTTCACCTTGGTAGAGCAGTAAATAAGACTATACAGAGAAACACATTCCTCTGCTTGTTAAAAAGAAATCCTATTTAATAAAAATGTTAAGTGCTGCCAGTTTGATTCACAGTGACACTGCATAGATTTCTGAGGCTCGAACCACAGACTTTGTGGAGCCACTGTGCTCCCTTAATAAAAATGAGTAATAGTAAATAACAAGAAGGAATTCATGGCTATGATGGTGTGAGGACAGTAACAAGTCTTCTCCATTAAAAAACAACAACATGTGTGAAACTGGACAAAACCAACTAGTTAAAGAGTTGTAGGTAAGAGCTCCAAGAGTCTACAACCTGCCTAGAACTACTCTAACCCCTCTCCCCATCCAACTGGAGAGAACTGCAGTTCTACCAACATAGGCTTGTCTGTAAAAAACTACTTTTGCTGATAGTTGCCAAAAGATAGATTCAGTTTGGGGGAAAGCGGTCCTGGATGGTAAAAATCCATAGTTTTGCCAGGTAAAAGAGATGAAGTTCTTAAGCGATGAAAGCAGAAAACTCACAACAGCCCCCAGTTGTAACCCCAGTTGGGTCAAGCAGCTTAATAACTTGAAATGTCACAGGGAGATCCTGCAAAAATAAAGGCTGAGATAATCCCTCTACACATTCATGGCTGATGAGAAAGGGATGAGAGAAACAGGGTAAAAAGTAAAAGTCAAGAACACTTGAGAACTGGTAGCAAATTGGAAGGCACCTGTCAACCCCACATAGACCATGGAAGCCTTAAGAGCTTAAGGTGTTTGAACTAAGCTATGCTGATACAGGAAGTCAGACCAAAAAACATCAACAACAAAACCCTTAAAATCTACAAAAATACTACAACTATTAACTTCTGTTAAGATGAGGCTTTCTATTCCATAGTCACAGCCTTGCAAAACAAACCCCATACAGGGTCACTATGAGTCAGAATTGACTTGGTGGCAATGAAACAGAGAGAGATTTAGTGACTTTAGCAAGGCCATAAGACACATAATCAATGTTAAATATATTTACATATCTATTTTGTTGTTAAGTGCCGTAGAATTGGTTCTGACCTATAGCTAACCTGTATAGGGTTTCCTAGGAGTGGCTGGTGAGCTCAAACTGCCAACCTTGTGGTTCAAACTGACTTTACAATACAGTGCATTACCTTCACCGCCATAAAGATTTACAGTCTCAGAAACTCTAGTATAAAGTCACTATGACTCAGAAGGAGTCCTGATATGGCACTGTGGGATACTGCACTGGGCTGCAAGGTTGGTCTGAAATGCAAAAGTTGTCAGCTCAAATTTACCAGTCGCTCTGTGGAAACTATACAGGATCTCTGAGTCGGAACCAACTCAATGGCACTCAACAACAACAAATCAGAAATGACTTGATGGCATTGGTTATCAACAAACAATCCTGAAATAAAATTTAAAAACCATTAAATTAATATAAAAAGAAAAAAACCTAGGTGTATGTTCACCAAAAGAACAGAAGCCCTATGCCCTGAAATTGCAAACATTGTTGAGAGAAAAACTGTTGTTATTAGGTGCCACCATGTCAGTATCGACATAAAGTGACTCTATGCACAATAGAACAAAACACTGCCTGGTCCTGCGCCAACCTCACAATTGTTGCTACATCTGTGCTCATCATGGCTGCCATGGCATCAATCCATCTTGCTGGGTGTCTGACAGTATGCCTGGAGTATGAGAGATGAAATCTGGCCATCCTGGCTTCCAAGGGTGTCCTTCTGGCTGTCCTTCTTCCAATACAGGTTGGAATTAAGACCCCCAAAAATGGAAATAAGTAATATCTTCTTGAATTTTGTTAAAATAGCAACTCTTCCTATACTGATCTACAGTCAATGCAAAATCTATCAAAATCCCAGCAGTTTTTACATACTGACAAGGGGATTCTAAAACTTATGTGAAAATACAAAGGACCTTGAATAGCCAAAACAATTTTAGGAAAGGGAAAAAAAAGCTGAACGATTTATACTTCCTAATTTCAGAATGTATTAAAAGGCTACAGTAATCAAGACAGTATGGCATTATAAAGATTAACATGGGACATGGAATAGAGAAATGGAAGAGAAAAAAGCCCAGAAATAAACCTACTTATTTATGGTCAGGAGCCAAGGTAATTAATTGAAGGGGAAAAAAATAGTCTTTTGATTCACAGTTGTAGAAAAATTACTATCATTTACCTAACAGCATTAAGGAACCCCTTAAAAGACTATTAAGAACTGGGATGTGGGGGGGGGGGGGGGGAGGGGGAAGGGAGGGAGGGGAATGTGAAGTACAGGGTAGGGAATAGACACAGGATAGTTTGGGTGCTAGGGAGGGGGGCAATACACAAGAAGGGGGAGGGGAATGGAAGAACAAGGCATATGGGAGAACAATTAGGCAAGATTGCATGGGCTAAGCAAGACAGAGGTAAATAATGATGTATGCACAACCTTGGAACAGGGCTCGAGACATGGTTGGAATGGTCAAAAGGGGATAAATAATGTTAAGATGCTTGGCTGTCTTTTGAATCTTGGTTTCCCTGGCACACCATTATAAAGTAGACACTTGAGGGGGAGAGAAAGGAATAGCCAGAAATATCACCATAGAAAGCTTGCAAGTCTGTCTTCTGCCTATAAATGATTGTAATGCCTAAAATGGGGTTACAACGTGCCCAGTGAAGGAGGCTTCCTGAGGAGCCTCTCCAATATATAAGACCATAGGTAGAATCCAGAATCTTCTGAGGTGGGAAATTTCCACTTGAAAGTACAAGCAGACCAGCCTGGAGAGGCTAGAAGAACAGAAGATACTTCTTGAAAGAAAGACCCACAGGAAAAATACAATACAATAGAGGCAGACCAACTGTTACTAAAAAAACAAGTAAGTTGCTTGCCCAAGTTGTTGGATCCCCTTACGGAAACCCCCTTCCAAGACTATAAGACTCAATGGGAATAAACGAGCAGACATGCACTCTGATTGGTGACCACATTCATCACTGATAAGGGGAAGTGAGGGAAAAATAGGAACGAAGCTGCGAACTAAGCCCTACAACGTTCAATAGACTCCTGAGAACCCAGGTAGAGACCTGGTTGGTCAGCAGTGTGGCCAGACCTGGGGACTGTTGGGCCCAGAGTCAGTGACACAACCACAGAAGATTAGAGCGTGAAGCATCCAGCTGATAAAGAAGAGAGGGCATATGTATAAGAACATCCACACTTGCAGAAAACACCCACTTGACCTGACTTCAACAACTGGATGATCAGAGCTCAACTAGAAGAAGAGGGAAAAAAACAAAACAGAGTAATCTGATACAATTTGATGAAACTGACCTACACCTATGGATGCAGTAGCTCAAAGGAGGAAACAAATCTTTACAGCGAAGATCATTCCTACCCTCTCCATACTCAAAGTAGAAAGGGATGGGCAACTTGGACATTGGCTATCCAAAATGGGAGTGGCTACAAAGGCAAGAAGTGACTGGCTTACAAGCTTTCAAGAGGGACCCTAGATCCAGAGGGCGTGGAGGAAGGTAGAATCTCCACTGAGTAGTATCCAATCTGTCTAGGCGGAACTGATGGAAAGAGATGGGGATAGGTCTCTTGTGGTACAATGGTGAATAACTGTTATCAGGACTGACTGCGAGGACTGGAAATGTAAAGGTAGACATTTTGTAGCAAAAGAAGGGGAGTGATTGACTATGCAGTCCAGGAGCAGAGGTCCCTGGGACCATCAAGGAACAAGAGCAGAGTGTAAAACCCTACCCAGAGAAGTAGTGCCACCAGAGGTGGAGACAGAGATGATGATGTGGAGAGATGGAGTAGCTGGGGACTCTAGACCCAGAGAGGGAGAGGGGCTGTGGACTGACCACCAGGGGGCAGGCTTGCAGGGTATACCATTTGGTTGGTTGATGATGCACAGATTGTAACCATGGCAATGAAATGATATACAATAAGATGAATGTAAACCTAATGTTCTCCTATGTAAACTATCACATAATTCACAATAAAATACTAGAAAAAAAAAAGACTAGGAAAAGGTAAGCTAAAAGAAGTGAGTCTAGTCAGACAGCAAGTCAGAGTTGCTGGGCTGTGGGGAAGAATTAGGGCTGACTGCAGTGAGAAAGTAATTTTTTTGAGATATTCAGTATTTGCTTCTGTTAGATAAATAAGTTGACATATGAATGATGTAGAGTTTCATTTATCATGGGCCACTTGAAAGATCCACCACTTGTGTGTCAGTTTATCACATTGTGGTGACGTGTGTGTTGCTGTGATCCTGGAATCTATGCCAACAGAATTTTAAATACCAGCAGCATCACCCATGGTGGACAGGTTTCACCAGAGCTTCCAAACTAAGACAAATGGATGAAAGCAGAGAATACCAGAAAGATATTTACCTGCACTATTGACTATGCAAAGGTTTTCGACTGTGTGATCATAACAAACCACGGACAGCACTGAAAAGTATGGGAATTCCAAAACATTTTACTGTGTTCATGAGAAACCTGAAGACCAAGAGGCACCTGATACAACAGAACAAGAGGATGGTTTAAAATCAGGAAAGGTGTGCCTAAGGGTTTTACCATACTTATTCAATCTGAATGCTGAAAAAATAATCCAAGAACCTGGGTTATATGAAGAAGAAGTAGCGTAGTGGTTACGAATCGGGCTGCGAACCTTAAGGTCAGCGGTTCGAAACTACCAGCTGCTCCACGGGAGAAAGATCAGGCTTTCTACTCCCGTAAAGATTTATACCCTCGGAAACCCTGTACAGGGTCGCTATGGGTCGGAACCGACTCGACGGCACTTAACAACAACAACGGCATCCGGATTGGAGAAACATTAATTAACAACCTGTGATATGCAGAGTACACAACCTTGCTTGCTGAAAGTGAAGAGGACTTGAAGCACTCACTAATAAAGATCAAAGACTCACATCTTTCAGTATGGATTTCACCTCAATGTAAGGAAAACAAAAATCTTCACTAATGGACCAATAAATAATACCATGATAAATGAAAAGATTGTAGTTGTCAAAGACTTCATTTTGTTTGGAGCTGCAATCAATACTCATGGAAGCAGTAGCAAAGAAATCACATTACATGCTGTATTACAGCAAATTACAGCAAATCTGCTGCACAAGACCTCTTTCAATGTGTCAAACATCAAAGATGTCACTTTGAGGACTAAAGTGTGCCTGACCCAAGCATGGTATTTTCAATAATCTCGTATGCATGTGAAAGTTGGAAAATGAATAAGGAAGACCAGAGAAATTCTTCTGATATATTTGAATTATGTACTGATGAAGACTATTGAAAGTACCATAGATTGCCAAAAGAACAAACAAATCTGTTTCGGAAGAAGTAAGCCAGGTAGTCCTTAGAAGGCAGGATGGCCAAGACTTTGTCTCTAGTACTCTGGACATATTGGCAGGAGGAACCAGTTCCTGGAGAAGGATGTCATGCTTGGAAAAGTAGATGGTCAGCAAAAAACCGGAAAACCCCTAACAAGATGGAATGACAAAATAGCAGCAAAATAACCATTCTGAGGATGGTGCAGGACATGACAGTGTTTGGTTCTGTTTTGTACAGTATCACTATGAGTCGGAACTGACTGGACACCACCTAAAAACAATTTGAAAGGTCACCTATGGGCCCCTGTGTGAACTTTTTAGGCTGTCCTTATAAGTTAGTCTCTGGTTGGCACTTCACAGGATCTAGAATGCAGTCCATATATACTAAGCTCTGACCAGAGGCCCCACAATGGTCTACTGTATTCACTCAACTTAAGAACAGTTTTGCAATGACAGGGTAGAAAATAGAAAGGCAGGGTAAGAAATAGGTAGCTAGTAAAAGCTGGGAGTTAATGAAGAAAAGAGGAGAAAGGCAGATTCTGCCGTTATAGGAAATATGGCAAAGTGAAAGAAACCGTGAATTAGGTTAATGAGTAAGTTAAACAGATAATGCAGACTTCATGAATAAGATGAATGGAGACTGTGTAAATGAATGTCTGAAGTCTTATGATTATGGATGTTATAAGTGGGCGTGATTTTGTTAGATGCATTGCGTTTTCTCAAAAGGACAAAGACGGTGCAAAAAAGGAAAAAGTTTCTATAAGAGTTCTAGGAAGAAAAAGAGAACTTTTATAAAGCAAGCTTATATAAACAGATAAAAAAACAAAGATATAATGTTATACTTGAAGTTATTGTTAAGTGTTGTCAAACTGGTTCTAACTCATGGCGACCTTGTATCGGGTTTTTGAGGAGCGACTAGTGGGTCTGAACTGTCAACCGTTTGGTTTGCAGTTCAATGCTGATCCTATACATGCAAATACAGTTGTTGCTATTGTTAAGTGCCATGGAGTAGATTCTGACTCATAGCAACTCCGTACAGGTTTCTAAAGAGCAGCTGGTAGGTTTGAACCACCTACCTTGTCATTAGCAGTCCAATGCTTACTCTACACTGCCACAACAGGGCCCAGTTTAGACAATGTCATCATTGTTCTGTTGTTGTTAAGTGCCATTGAGTCAATTCCAAAATATATCGACCCTCTATAGGGTTTCTGAGGAGCAGCTGGTGAGCTTGGTGAGCTGAACCACCGACCTTGTTCATCATTGTTGTTGTTGTTATGTGCCGTGGAGTCGGTTCCGACTCATAGCGACCCTGTACAGGGTTTCCAAGGCTGTAAATCTTTACAGGAACAGAAAGCCTCATCTTTCTCCCGCGGAACAGCTGGTAGTTTTGAACTGCTGACCTTGCGGTTCACAGCCTGATTCGTAACCGCTATAGTACCAGCCACTGCTTTTGTCTTTTTTGGTATTTCGTCTATTACATTATATTAAGTTAGACAAATATAGCAGCATATTTAACATAACAATGCTGTTGTTATGTGCCATGGAGTTGGTTCCGACTCACAGTCGGTTCTGACTCATAGTGACCCTGTATAGGGTTACCGAGGCTATAAACCTTTACGGGAGCAGAAAGCCTCATCTTTCTTGCACAGAACAATAGAATTAAAAAAAAAAAAAAAAAAAAAAAGACTGGTTAAAGATGATATTCCATGAGATTTCTCCCCAAGTGGCTATTCATTTCAAACTTATTCCTAAACAAGGAAGCAGGTAGAGGAGAAAGACAGACAAGTAGAAGCCATATTTTCAAAAATTTTCAAAACCTGTTTGGTTAGGGGGAGAATCCACTTAAGTTGTTTCCTTTCTTATTAAGTCTTCATGCAAGTGAGTGGATGAGACGTTTCATTATCAAAACTATTTTCACATATGGTTCTTTAAATCTAACACATTATTATGACTTTTTTTAAATTCAGGTTTTATACTATGAAAGGAGCCTAAATGTTCTCTTTGATACTATAACCTATGGCTATAGTAAAACCATGTGCATGTGTACACATATGACTTACTAAGTAAACTGTCTAACATATCTACATCCAAATCTGTAGATCTCTTTTGCTGCTGGGCTACTAACTGGCAAAAGTCCTGTGCAGCTCTCACAATATCTGCTTTTCCATCTTCTGGGGACAGCACCTTCACTGATGACTGGCAATTTAAAACTGGAGGAAAAAACAAACAAAATATTTTTTTAAAAAAGGAAGACAAGAGAAACTTCTTCTAGACATATTTTACAACCAGTTTTAGAAATACTAAACTGAAAACAAAAGTCATTTCTCACAGTTAACAAGAATCTACAGTTTGCAATTTCTGCATCAAAATGTACTTAGCCTCAAAAAGGATCCAAGAACCTCAAATCATAGTTGTGCATGTACATATCAGGAAGCTTCAAAAAGTTCGTGGAAAAATTTAATTGAAAGATGATGAAATTTTTCCATGAACCTTTTGAAGCTCCCTCTTATATGCTGCGTTCTTTTCAAAACGTTCAAATGTACATTGCTAAGTATGAATAAATTCTCTCGACATATGTATTTTCACTATAAGGTAGGTAATAATTTCCACATATCCAAAATGTCATCCCCAGTTAAAACACAGTAGTAACAGGATAAAAGGGAAAAAGTGAGATTGTAGAAGAAAATGTATGCCTCAATGGAAGAAAATGCATTGTCCAAAGAACACATTTCTACCTAATTCTGATTCTATGAGAGCTATTTCACCTGAGTTGCTTTTTATTTATGAGAGTAATGATTTTCTTTTTCTAAAAATTATCTTAACAAGATTGAGAGTAAAAGAGAAAAGTCTAATAAATCTGATGATTAATCTAGTGACAATAAGGACTAAAATAGAAAAATATGGGTGAATGAAAGACAAACTTTGCCTTGAAATCTAAAATACATATCTGTAAATGTTACATATTCATCTTACCTTGATCATCTTTGTCATTACTATTCGCAAACTCTGGTGAATATTTGGAATAATCTAAGCCCAGAAGTTCCTGCTGTTGTTTTAAAATTTCATCCATTAATCTGGAATTATTCCTTTTGAAAATGCCTTAAACAGAAAAGAAAGTAAGTAAACCACAACTAAGTAATTATCCTTTTCCATCATTAATGCATGCTTGTTGTGAAAATAATAGTAAGTCCTAAAATGAACAACTTCCAAATTAAGCAGTAATGACTAACCCTAAATTAGAATCTAAAAGAAAAACTTATCAAAACTTAACTTCTAATTGGTTGGCTGGTTATGTGCCGTGGAGTCGAATCCGACTCATAGCGACCCTGTAACAGGGTTTCCGAGGCTGTATATCTTTATGGGAGCAGAAAGCCTCGTCTTTCTCCTGCAAAACAGCTGGTAGTTTCGAGCTGCTGAACTTGTGGTTCGCAGCCCAATTTATAACCACTATGCTACCAAAGCTCCTTAGCTAATAATTAATCTCTTATTAATACATGAGTCTAGCTTTAGGTTAAAGTTAAAAAAAAAAAAAAAAAAGGTAAGAATAACTACTTAGAAAAACATGAATGTGACAGAAATTTAGACCTAGAAAGGGATATTAAGAGATCATTTACCTTTCTGCTACATATTAAGAAACTGAGAACAACATCCTTAAATGATTTGTCCAAGAAATTATAAATTACATTGATAGTTGAGAGCCCAGATCTTCCTGATTCCCATTCTAATTTGTTTTCCCAGAAGATTTACTATGTAGATTAAATACAACTCCATCATTTTGAGTATTTTTTTCCCACTACTATGAGGAGCTTACATGAATTATGTAAACAGAGAAAAAGAGACAATGGTAACCAATCACATTTAGTAAAAGCAATGGAAAAAATGTACATTTTCTATAGCACAGACTTCGATCACATTATGATCCATGTAAAAGCATACAAATAAACAGCTTAAAAATTGTTTACTTTACACAGAGACGTTAAAACTTTAATCAATATCATATAATTAAGAAAAATAAAGGAACTGTGTGGCATGCATTTAGTATGAAGGACCCCCAAAACACTCATGGAAAAGTGAAATTAAAAGGTAAGGGATGGGTAAAAGGGGGCAATAATGTTAAGATGCTTGGCTATCTTTTCAATCTTGGTTTCCCTGGTGTACCACTGTAAAATAGACACTTGAGGGGGAGAGAAATGAATAGCCAGAACTATCACCACAGAAATTTTGTAAGTCCATCTTCTGCCTATAACTGACTGGAATACCTAAAATGGGGCTACAATGTGCCCAGTGAAGGAGGATTCCTGTGGAGCCTCTGCATTACATAAGACCATAAGTGGAATCCTGAACCCCATCCAGAATTTTCTAAGGTGGGAAATCTCCAATTGAAAGGACACGCAGACCAGTCTGGAGCAGCTAGAAAAACAGAAGATACTTCTTGAAAGAAAGACCAACAGGAAAAATACAAAACAATATAGGCAATCTGACTGATTACTATAAGAACAAGCAAGTTACTCGCCCAGAGGCATCAAGGCAAGTGGTCAGGTCCCCTCCGGGTAAACTCCCTTCCAAGACTAAGACTCAATGGGAATACACAAGCAGACATGTGGTCTGACTGGTGACCACACTAGTCACCAATAAGGGCAAATGAGGGAAAAATAGGAATGAAGCTGTGAGTTAAGTCCAACAACCACATTCAATACACTGCTGTGAACCTGGGTGGAGATCTGGTTGGCCAGCAATATGGCAAGACCTGGGGACTCCTGGGCCCAGAGTCAGTGATATAGCCACAGAGGACTAGAGTGCAGAGTGAAGCATCCAGCTGATTAAAAGTGAAGGACGGGAGAACAAACAAGATGGTGGAGTGGGTGAAAGTGCAGTGAGGAGCTCCGTCAGCAACAACACAGAATACTGGACCAAGTAGGTTCAGGGGATGGTCCCAGAACTCTGAACCATAAAGGAATATTTACAAAGTTGGAAGGCTTACAGCCAGTGGAATTCATAGCAGAATTAAGAAATCCTGTGCTTCCTAATCCAAGAGTCACCGTACCAAAAGGAAATGGTAAATGATCAACCATTTCAAGAGATAGCATATGATCAGGAGCCAATGATACTGAAGGAGGAAGTACAAGGTGCATTGAAGGAATTGGCAAAGAACAAGGCACCAGGAACTGATAGAATAAAAATGGAAATCTTTCAAGAGAGTGAGGCAGCACTCACTCATCTCTGTCAAGAAATTTGGAAGACAACTATCTGGCCAAATGATTGGAAGAGATCCGTATTTGTGTCCATTCCAAAGAGAGGTGAACCAACGGAATGCGAAAATCATGGGACAGTATCTTTGATATCCCATGCGAGTAAAGTTTTACTAAAGGTAATACAGAAACGGCTGCAAGCATACATTGACAGAGAACTTCCAGAGGTTCAAGCCGGATTCAGAAGAGGACATGGAACGAGGGATATTATTGCTGATGTCCAATGGATCTTGGCTGAAAGCAGAGAATATCAGAAAGATGTTTACCTGTGCTTTATTGACTACGCAAAGGCTTTCGATTGTGTAGATCATGACAAGCTACGGACAGCATTGTGAAGTATGAGTATTCCAGAACACTTAATTGTGCTCATGAGAAATCTGTACCTGGACCAAGAGGCAGTTGTTCAAACAGAACAAGGGAACACTGAATGGTTTAAAATTAAGAAAGGTGTGCGACAATGTTGTATTCTTTCACCATATGTATTCAACCTGTAAGCTGAGCAAATAATTCGAGAAGTGGGTTATATGAAGAAAAACGTGGCATCAGGATTGGAGGAAGACTCATTAACAACCTACGATATGCAGATAATACAACCTTGCTTGCTGAAAATGAAGAGGACTTAAAACATTTACTGATAAGGATCAAAGAGAACAGCCTTCACCACTGGTCCAATAAACATCATTCTTATCAATGGAGAAAAGATTGACGTTGTCAAGTACTTCATTCTTCTTGAATCAACTATCAACACTCAAGGAAGCAGCAGTCAAGAAATCAAATGATGTATTAGCATTTGGCAAATCTGCTGCACAAGACCTTTTTAAAGTGTTGAAGAGCAAAGATGTCAGCTTGAGGACTAAGGTGCACTTGACCCAAGCCATGGTATTTTTAATAACCTCATATGCATGCGACAACCAGACAGTGAATAAGGAAGACTATAGAAGAATTTATGCTTTTGAGTTGTGGTGTTGCAGGAGGATATTGAGAGTGCCATGGTCTGCCCATAGAACCAACAGATCTGTGTTGGAAAAAGTACAGCCAGAGTGCTCCTTGGAGGCCAAGATCGCCAGACTTTGTCTATCATAACATCAGGTTAAATGGAAAAAAGACTGAAGTTTTTAAAGACTTCATTTTGTTTGGACCCACTATCAACACTCATGGAAGCAGCAGTCAAGAAATCAGATAGTGGATTGCATTAGGGAAATCTGCTGCACAAGAACTCTTTGAAAATGTTAAAGAGCAAAAATGTCAGTTTTGAATACTAAGTTGAGCCTGACCCAAGCCACTGTATTTTCAATCATCACATATGCATGTAAAAATTGGACAACAAACAAGGAAAACCACAAAAGAATCTATGCATTTTAACTGTGGTGTCGGAGAATAATGAAAGTACCACGGACTACCAGAACAAACCTGTATTGGTAGAAGTACAGCCAGAATGCTCCTTAAAAGCGAGATGGTGAGACTTTGTCTCTCATCCTTTGGACATGAGAAGGACATCATGCTTAGAAAAGTAGATGTTAGGTGAATAAAAGGAAGGCCCCCAACAAGATGGCTTGGCACAGTAGATGCAACAACAGGCTCAAACATAAACTGTGAAGATGGCTGGGTAGTGTTTCATTCTGTTGTAAATAAGGTCACTATTAGAGTTGGGCTGCTAACCTCAAGGTCAGTAGTTGGAAACTACCAATCATTCCGCGAGAGAAAGATGAGGATTTCTGCTCCCACAAAGATTTACTGCCTCGGAAACCCTATACAGGGTCGCTGTGAGTTAGAACCAGCTCCAAATCACATAACCACCAGCAACAACATAATGGTACTTAACAACAACTGCCCAGTCACCCAGTCATCTTCTCTACTCTCACTCACAGTATTATACTCTTCTCCACTGGATCATTTTTTTCTACAACTATGTTTTATACATCAACATTTCTCTTGTCCATTACCCCCACTCTACACTTCAACCCATTGTCTTCTTCCTTTTCATGAAATTCAAGCACCACACAATGGGCCTTCCTAACTTTTCTAGTATCATCCCCTTCTGACTACAGATTATCTTTTTAGAGTGCATCTTTAATCCTAGCATGTCCCAAATTTTGTATGCGATGACACCCAAATGCCCATTGTATTAAAAACTGCTACGCTCAGTATTAACATTCCAGTTGATGCTTCTACATTTGATGGTTGAAAATAATTTGTTTTATGAAATGAATGTATCTTTCTATATATAGTACTTATTCCCAGCAGATTAGAGTTACTGTGATGTTCCCTATCTTCAATCCTTTATCTTCTCCACTCAGAACCTCTTCATCCTGCCTCCGGGGGGGGGGCACGTACACATACATACACGCACACTTTGTTCAAGCCTCTTAATAAATGAACAGACAGACCCTGTACAGGATTTTTGAGGCCTTAAATCTTTGTGGGAGCCAAAAGCCTCATCTTTCTCTTGCAGTCACTGGTTGGCTCAATCGCTGACCTGTGGTTCGCAGACCAGTGCTTATTCTTTGGAATGTAGTCTTACTTGTGAACCTGTGTCTTCCTTATCTCTTATCCCCTAAGCCATCTTCCACACTGTAGCAATTCAGTATTTATTTAATAAAATGAATTACCAGCCCACAAGTGTCACCTAACAACAAAACCTAACACAACTTGTTGCTAAGTAGAGTTCTGTTTAAATTTCCAGGAACCTCTTACAATAAATCATATGCTTCCTTACTGCACTTACATGCAGATACGTTGTTGAAAGGAAGACTATTACCCAGAGGCACAGTTACAAAGTATCTTTTATAAAGATGACTTTCATAAAGTTATTTTAAGCAGAACTTTTGTCTTGGTTAATTTGGATGAAAA